TGACCGAAATTATGCCGAAGAGAGTGAAGTGAAGCCACGACTCAAACGATTGGAGGCAACCGTTGAAGACATCGCCGCCATTGAAGACCACATCCACTCAATCGCGCAAAACATTCAGAGATATCTTCCGACCAAACCATAGATCACTCAATCCTACTGTCAATTCATCACTCATTTGATCCATTCATTCAATTTAATGTCTATTTCTTTTGTATTTAAACTTAATTTCATTGTTTTTGATCCCAATTTTCTCTTTAATGTTTGAACTTTTCATTTAATATGTGATAATTTGATGTTTTCTTTTGTTTAAAATGTATTTAATTTACGAATAAATTATTGTAATAATTATTACTAAATACTATTAATAATAAATTAATACAATTATATGTAATTATTATTAAATTAAACATAAAATAACATACATTTACATTAGAGTTACAATAATAAAAGATTTGCGAATAAGTTTTTCATTGTATTTATCGATTAAATACATTAAATAAATGCATTTTAATGTAAATGCATGATTTACATTGAATTTAATGGCAAAAATGCTAATCATTTATATGATCTATTGAAATAGTATTGACTACAATATTGTAAACAACATAACAAATGATTACCATGATGAGTTAAAAGCGTTATTCAAATGGGATAATCAATCGTTTATTTCTTAATAATACCCAACAAGTTATTTAATATTCATAAAATATATTGTTATTTATAAAGTATTTATATTAAAATATAATGTATATGAATGGAAATTATTAGCAATATTTAAATTAAATCTATTTTTAATAAAATTCCGGAAATTTTTATTTTTTATATTTTATGAATAAAAAAGAGATTCCAAGAAATATCAATATTTGGCGCTATATTTGTTATAAAGAAATAATTCTTATTCTTTAAATGCAAATAAATTATTTGATTGAAAAATCATTCAAATTGTATCAAAAAGGCAGTACTCAGCAAATGAATAGCGTTTTAATGCTATCTTCATATAATAGATTTCATGAACAGAATTATTGATTGTTAAATAAGTTTTACGGATCTATTTTAGTGCAAATACGAGTTGATAATCATTAAAACAATGTATTATCTTTTAACATAGTTTTACTAAAGTCTAGTTATAATAATAATAATAACAGTCAAGAACCGTTTAATTGCCTAAATTTCAATTATTTTGCAATTATAAGTTAGAATAAACCTTATTTAATAAATAATTATACATTTATTTATTTGCATATTATATACACATTAAATAAACTATATAATGAATAATTCAGTATTTCTTATGAATATAAAACAAAAAAGTTTGTACTTTTAAACCATTAAGAAATATATTTAACGTTATAAATTATATATAAATTAAGTGTAATGTTGATTATTTATCACAACTTTTTAGACTTTTAAACAATGCATTTCTTCAAACAACAAAATGGTATTAAAAATGTATTTTCATTGGTAATCATATGGTATTATCGGTTGATTGGTATCACTTTCGGTGGCTTTAATTTTAAGCGCAACGATAAAATTGTTACCAATTATTACCTTAAACATCTGGGATGTTTTGCATTAATTTGCTACACAATCATTGGTCCCATAACTGTATACTACCAAATGTTGGACACCGGCATCACTGGCCTTTACGACAGTGGTCTGCACTTCATATACTATATCTTTGGCTTTCTTCTGGTTCTTGAAATCATTCAGATTGTGGTAAATGGTGTATATCTTCACATCAATGCCATCAATATGTTTGAAGTTATCTATAAATATGGAATCGGTTTGTAATACACTTGACATGAAATGTAAAAGTTTTATATCTTATTTAAAATTGTAATTTTTAGATCAATTGTGTTGGATTTGGACTACAATTGTCTGGTTTCTTGTGCTTGTAATTCATGTCGGTTTCATTATAAGCGATCTATTGCTGAACAATAATCGCTCCACACTTTCGCTTATGGGACTATTTCTGGATAAATTGTTTGCTAAACCAGCCCTCGATGTCCTGCCATTCCTCATAACACTTCTCTCGCTTTCTTTTGCACATTACTATCAAATGTTAAAATTAAACATAATTGATGTCAAAACTCCTGAAATGTTAGCAAAAATTCGCCAATCGTTTGTAAAATCTCATAAACTTATTGTCAACTTTGATCAAATGTTAATATTGGTAATTCATAACTATTGCTTAAACATTTCATAAATAAAATTTGTTTTTCAGCCACAATTGGTAACAATATCTCATTTAATGATAACCATAATGTTTGAAATCTACATTCTGTCCAATTATAACAAAATGAAGGGAGCAATGGGTTTGAAGAGATATTTTATGGTAAACTCCATTGGATCTACTCTTAAGCTAATCATGTATTGTCTGGCAAACGGCAAAGTGTTTGACGAAACGGACAAATTATTCTTCGCTTTAAACGATATAAACCATACGAATGACAATATGTTCAAAGAAATTGTTTGTTTTCGGACATTAAGTCGTGAACTGCCCAATGGTTTCACAATTGGAGGTCTTATGCCATTGAGAAGGGGAACACTCTTATCGGTAAATTAATACTTTATTTAACAACTTATAGTGTGTTTAAAATCAACTATAATTTCTATTATTTTCTTAATAGATGTTTTGTTTTATCATAACCTACGCTATAATACTCATACAAACGGGCGCTGTTTAATATACCAAACTTAAATTACTAATAATCTTGAAACAAACTTAATCTGTATTTATTTTAACCATATTTATTAAAATTTATTTTCTGTATATTAACAAATATGAACGTAATTAATACATAGAATTTTAATTAATTTAATTCGCAACCCAATTGACATATTTGAACGATTATATTGTATTTATATTACTTTTGTTGATATGTTTATAATTTGTTTTACCTATAAATTCTATCCAAGGCATCAAAAATTATGAATAAATGTGTGTTTCTTCATTTAATTCAATTCATAATTGTATCCATATTTTCATTTCATTTGTGTACATATTATTTAGTAAATGCCGACAAAAATTATAAACGAGATATTAGTAGTCGTTATATAAATGATAATAAGTTTGACACAAATCTTAATGAAATATTTACTGATGAAATGGATTCTAAAGATGTAATAACTTAATTGATAACAATTTAATTAAATAATTTATTCATTAAAAAATTGTCGTTTTCTTTACAGGGATTACATATAAGGAGAAAAGTAAAACAAAATTTAATATAAAATTTAAATATAAAATTAAACAAATCAATTGTACGGCAATTAGAGAGACAACGATATAATAGGTTGGCTGACAGAGAGGCGGAAGGAGAGAAAAGCGATGCTAACAGCGATCGGCGATCACATGAAAAGGTGGCTAAACTGGGAAATGTCGGCAAAGGATCAGGAGGTTCTCAGAAAATACTATCTCAAATTGAAGAACACATTTCCTAAACCAGCCGACAGTGTTGTCAACATTAAAGTAATGTTAATTTGATTTAAGATAAGTTATATCTAACTATTAATACTACTATTAATACAATTATTCTTGCCGTCGACCGCAAAGACGCCTAAAATGAATTATACAAATCCCGAGTTTCGGGCCTTTTGTAAGGACCCCACCTTCACGGACGCCGACTCCAGTCTCGACGGCTCAGAGATTTTGATATTTAAAGGAAACAAATTTTTTGTTATGGAAAGTTAGTACTAAAACCATTTGTTTTTTAATTAAGTTAATTATTGTTAAAATTTGTATAATATTTAAGATCTAAGATACGGCTCGGGTGTGTTAATGGCCAGCGGCTCAACGGACAAACTGTTGCCAAACTTTGATTCAAACGGCTTGACATCAATGGCGACCATACAAGAGGGCCAATTAAGGGGTTATGTGTTTGCATTTTATAAAAGCCAAATGATGTCGGGCTGGAGTCCCAGCGGTTATGTTCGCGTCAAACACACCAATCAATTCAAGAAAAGTCTGACTCCAAGTCTACCCAAGAATGGCTTTGAAACAGTGTTTCACAATCGAGACATCAAAGATCCGCTTCTCATTGGCCTTAACGGCGATAAAGTATATCATTTTAATATATTATGTAATTGTCTTTAATTGGTTTAACAATGAATGTATACTGTATAACAAATTTAGGTCTATTATTACAAAATTGTCAAAAACTCGTTCATTAAAGTGAAAGAGACGACAACAGACAAGAGTGAGGAAAACTTTCCGTCGGGCGTAACGACTGCTTTCTCACTGCCCAACCGTTTTGTGTATATGTTTCGTAACGACACGTTTTGTGTCCGAGAGTTATACTATGAATCGGATGACAAAAGTATTAATGTAAGACACGTGTAAAAGTCATCGCTAATTATTGAGTTATTAATATAATAATTAATATAATTCGGTATATTTAATATGTTTGTTTGTCAATAACAAACATTTACTGTATATTGTAGTGCGATATATGGCTCGACACGAGAATATTCCTGGGCTGTTATGGGGAAAACGATCCGCCCTTTAGTCTCGCTAATTATAATTCGTTGAGTACGAGCGCAGAGGCGGACGACTTGTGTCATGACTTCTCCTCCATATCCATCACAAAAGCCGTAAACCCATTGCATATATTGATATTTCGCGGCACAAAGTACTGGACGCTCACCGGCTTTCCCTACAAATCAATCGTTTTGAATGTGAGCTCCGCTGAAGACAAATGGGAAGGTTTTGAGTCGAGTCCCGACACAGCGATGATTGTGTCGGAAGGCTTTCAAC